CCGCCGCGGGGCCCCGGCAGACGCTTCTGGGGGTGGCTGAACGCCGTCTTCAACAAGTAAGGGTGACCCGGTGCGCGCGGGTCCGTTACCGGGTCCCACGTATCCACCGCGGGGTTCGCGACGGAGGAAGCAATTGCGTCCCGGGGCTGGAGAGGACGTTTTCTGTTATCGGTGCCCTTCTTTCCCCCCCCAGATTGCACCTGGGTGCTTGGCAGGGGTCGTTCCTTACCCGTTTCCAGTTACAAAGCTGTGGCCTCGCGGAGGAAGGTTTGTGCTTTGCTCCCCGCCCCGGGGCGGCCGAGGCGAGCTGGCGATGTGGGTTCTGTCCCTCGCTGCCAGCCCTCCTTTGACCCCCGGCTGCATTTCAGCCGGTAGCCCAACCGCGCCCCCTTTACTTATTCAGAAAAGCATGTAACCAACCCGTCATTTACGATGCGATTCAGCCACACAAGGGTTTCACAAGTACTTCTAGAAAGATAAAGCCTTTCTCTGCAACTTTCTCTGCCCATAACTTTTGCCGCTAGCTAATAGCTTTGCCTTACGTCTTCTAGTTCTGTGGAAAGGGTTGCGTGGTGTACCTGATGGCTGTAGTGGGGCGGGAAGCTCAACCAGCCGGGGGTCTCTTCCAGGTCTCTGCTTCTGTCTTCAGCATTGCTCACCAGACTAAGGTATCCTTTAACTGGATGGATCCAGGGACTTTAACTAATTGCTGAAGTGTGGCTTTTTGAAATACTGTAGTTGCTGAGAAGGCGGCTTCAGGAGTGACACACATGTGACAGGCAATGTTCAGTTTTTATGTAATCAAAGTATGTTTGGGGGGCAAATTTCCAATTGTCGTAAAGCCTTAGTCTGGGTAGAGAAAGGCATTTTTTATCTCTCCTTACGGACATGGAAGGAGACAATCGATGAGAAGGGTTAACATGTGCCAAGTCAAGTTGCATTTTTATTCTTTCTTTTTTTACCAAAAGTAACTGCCATTTAAAACAAGTTTAAAAAAAAACTTACGCCAGTCTGCTTAAGAACCAGCACAATCCAAATAATTATACGTAAACCACTTCCAGTAAATCATATTTTTACTTTTCTGACATCTTATCATGCATATACCCAAATATTTGTTGTGCAGTAGCATTATTGTAAAGACAATAAATCTGCCACAGTATAGAAACCGTGTGACTGCTCCTTCTGTCTTGGCAGAGTGGACTACGAACGTATACAAGCCGTTGGCCCTGACAGGGCAGCTTCAGAATGGCTGTTGCGATGTGGCGCCCTGGTGCGCTATCAAGGCTATCAGAAATGGCAGCAGGACTACAACGGCCTCCCAACGGGGCCCCTGGGGAAGTACAAGATAGAAGCAATTAATGCCACTGACTCTTGCATCATGTACAGAGGATTTGACTATCTGGGTAATGGAGACACAGCTGTGCAAAGATTATGCTGAATGGTCTTAGTTCTTTCAGTTGCATCAAAATACAAATAACTGGGTTGTTTTCTCGTTCCTTAGTAAGAGATAGAGAAATCTTTTCAAATATTTTTTGTTTTTTCTTTTTTCCTTAAATGGCTCTACAGACGTTCAGTAGTTCCTGAGATTTTGCTGGAGGTGTGGTGTGAAGCAGAAAGAGATTGGGAACTTCATCAGCCCTTACCTGAAGTGACAGCAGCACTAAGGAAGTGCGGCAAAGATTTGCTGTTTCATTGAGTTCCTTGTTAAATAGTTGGTAGCAAAAAGCACTACTTTAAATATTCTTTTTCTTCTAAACCAAGGGACGTTTTTGGTGTCTGTGAAGTCATAATACTGCTTGTTCTCCAGGAATTTATGATGTTCTCCAGGAATTTATGATGAATTTTTATGAAAAAAATTTATGATTTTTTTTTTAATACATAAAAAAAAATTCATGTATTTTTTTGAAGACAAAAAAAAAAAGCAGCAAGCTCTCAGTTTCTTACAAAATAAAAAAGAGATTGTTTCAGGTCTCCTTTAAGTAACAAAAACCAAAATGGGGAACAGACCGTTTTATTTTTTATTGGCAGGGGACCTTGAACTTCCTGCATTATTATGTTCCTAATTCAGAGTCATTGTTTATCTCCCAAACTTGTAGAGCTTTTTTTTGTTACTTGCCCATGTCAAAGCTCTTAGAATCTTACCAAAAGGATACAAACCCGGGGGTTTTCATAGATTTGAAGTCCCATAAAGGGGCTTTGGAGCTTCATTGCGCGTTGCAGCCTCGCTGTACAGGGGAGCGTGTTGCTGTGTGGTTTTGGAGGCAGTTACTAAATTGGCGAGTGAGAACTTAACGAGTACGGGTTGTTCCTGGTATTCTGAAGCAAGTACTCATTTTTGTCTTTCCAGATGGTCTTGAACATGTTACAGAAATTAAGCTGCAGAAGTGTATTTACATACAGGACGAGTGTCTGCAGAGGCTCAGCGAGACGAAGAATCTACAGAAGAGTCTCCTCCAGCTGAAGATAATTTCCTGTGGGAATGTCACAGATAAAGGCATCATTGCACTGCACAAGCTGATGTACGTGAGCTGCTGAGGTGGTCTTGCTCCCTAGCTGTTACCACCCTGCTGTTTTGGGATCGTGTTGGCTGAAGTCTGAATGTTTCTGGGCTGTTTCAGACGTGTGCGAGGCTGTGGGATGGCTGGGTTTGGGGACTGACTTGAATGACAGCCTGGGAGGGATGGCACTGCCAGCGCAGGAAACGTTTCTTCAGGCGTGGTTGAAGACAGTGTTGTGGATAGCTCTGAGAAGCCGTGTGGATTAACATACACATATTAATCAGCCTTGTAAGGCTGGTGTCAGGGAGTTGTGTGGCACTGAGGCCTGCAGCTGAGAAAGCCGGAATCGTCCGCCGCAGTACGTGAATCCATAGCTGCCCTGCTATCCTCAGAGTTGAGCGCAGCATCTCCCATTGACGCTTGAAGTAACTTACGCAATTAATTAGATTGCTGCGCAAATTAGAGCAGGACACGTGCTCTCTGCCGACACACAACCTTTGCAAGAGCAGTGAATGCGTGCAGCTTCCTTTCACGCTGGCACACGAGGTGGGTTTTGCTTGAGAATAAGTAATGAATGATCACCTTGGTTTTTCTGCTCCTGCCCCCCCCGCTGCAGTCCCTTTTCAGGGCAGGCTTTGGTGGTGTCCTGCAACTTACTGTCTTCCTACACCTCGCGCTGCTTCCTATCGCTCGGTTATCTCGTGCTCACTGTGGCCTGAAAGGTCTTGGGGCAGAGCTGTGTCTTCTAGCGCTCGGGCATGGGTTGGACACCGTGCAGCTCTGTAGCTCTGCAGCACGTCCGTAGGTGCCTTATTGAACCGTGGCCTTAAAGTAACTCGGAACTGTTTAGTATTACAGAGTTAACGGACGTCTGCAAATGGGTGATGTGGTGACTTGGATTTCATCCTGCAGAAAGCTATTATTAAGGACTTTCTACATTATTATTTACATTAAAATAACTTTTACTGAATTGCTACTGAAATTATTAAATACTGTTTAATACAAAGGCAGCTTCATGATGTGGGGGGTCCAGGATCTCTTTTTAAGCTGTGTAGAAGGACTGAACTTAGGGTGAGCTAAAAACTTTAAGGACCCACTTCAGAAAAAAACTTACATTAGAACCTTTTAAAATCCTCAAAAAAACTATGGTAGAATAACCCTTTGTCTAATTTCTGTGTCAACAGTTAAATAGTAGTTGCTGACTTTTCTTTTTAAATATTTATAGGAACCTTGAATATTTGTATCTGAGTGACCTTCCTGGAATAAGAGAGAAAGAAACTACTGTTCACGTCCTTCAGCAGGCACTGCCAAACCTGGAGCTGGAGCTGGATTTAGAATAAACACAATTGCACGTAACAGATGTATTTGATTTCATAGTATTTATCCTATGTTGCATAGGTTAAGTTGTAGACGCTACTGTATTTCCAGGTATGGAAATAAGCCCAGATCTCCCGATCCAGCCTCAAAAGCTGTATGCAAGCTTTTATGCAATTAAGTCTTATTAAGCTTAAACTATACGGTGAATCAACCGCAGAGAAGGTAGCCTTCTGTGCATGGTCATTTTTTTCCTGTTTTTATAGGAAGCTGTCAATACATCAATTAGAAGTTTTCAAATACTTTATGGCACAGCAATTCTTGTGCAAAATGACGGTGGGAAGAACGTCAGTGTTGCGAAACAGCAGCGCTGTACGCTTTTCTTGCATGATGTCCGTGCTGTGGGAGTGAATGGGAGCTGTTTATTCTCTGAGAATCTCGCCCAGTCAGTGGGTGATGATTTAATAAAATAGCTTATGGGCCTGTTTTCTGTTCTTCACGCTTCGACTCATGTAGCCTTTGTTTGTTTTAAATGGGGTGATCTACAGACAGGCAGTCTAACCGTCTCATAAACACCGAGCTGAGGAACGGAACATTGCTGTATTTGTGGGGAAGCAGGGTCTCTTAGATAAGCCCTTGCACACATTTTTGCTGTATGCTGACATGGACTAAGTTAGTTCTGTGTACCTCTTTAGTTGCACCCATATCACTCCTGCTAAATAAGAGAATGATTCATCCTCTGGAAGAATATAGCTTTTTTAGTCAAATTCCTAGCTTCGGTGGTAGGGGAGAGGAAGGCGGTAGGCGACGACTCCAAGAAAGCAGATTTCAGTGATGTCTCAGACACGGCTACCTCTGCATAACTGAGAGTCTCTTTTCTTTGCCCCGATTGTCAGCTTGTCCTCTGAAGGAGATGATGCCAAGCACCCCCCGGAAAGGACAACATTGTGCACTACACCCGTCGTGGGGGGGCTGATTCTCCTTGGTATCTCCTAGCGCAGAGCGGGCAGGAACGGTGTCCAGAGGTGACGTTCCCTCCAGCCTGCGCTGCCCAGGGCTGTGTCCGGGAGCTGGCTGCCAGGCTATCTGCTGCTTACGGGACGGCGCGTGGGTGCTGCCGTACCTTGCACGTGTACGGGATTAGATGGCTGATATATCCATACGGAAAGGACCGGAACGCCAAAGCTTTCTGAGCGTAACCAACGCGATCTATGGACACAATGTTCAAGATTAAAATATATTAAATTGTAATATGAAATAAAAGGCAGACAGGCACACTCTGTAAGGATATGGCACCTGTCCCATTGAAATTGCTTTTACTGTTGTTGAACACAGAACAGTACTGGGAAAAGAAAACGTTTTTGCTCTAGGTTTCAAGTAGAAAGAGGACGTTCCTTGCCCAGTGGTAAAACTCTATACAGTAAAACACATCCAGTAAACTGGAAAAATGAGCTACGTTTATTTTATTCAAAACCAACACAATACTACATCCTGAGATTACACAAAACCCAAGAAGCATTCTAATACGTATGCTTAGGTAGAATTCCCGCCTGTGTCTGGCCAATGTTATAAATTATATTCATGAATTATTTTTGATAAAAACGATTTCTGTAACACTACAGGCAAGTGACGTCACTATTGACAGAAACAGCAAATAAAAACAACCTCATAATGCAAGGAAGAAACAGGCAGGAGAAACTCTGAAAAGACTAAAGAAACAACAGGTTTTATTGTTTATACGTTCTCCCGGTAGCAGCGCCTGTCGAGCCTTCCATTAAGTCTAAGTTAAGTCATTACCAGTACTTCTGACGCTTTGTGATCTATAAACGCGGTACGTAAGACAGACCTATCTTTAAAGCAGTGCTATTTCAGCAGGTTTGTAACTAACTGGACCGGTTCGGTAGCCTCTCATCAGGCTCGGCTCCACAAACACACACATCTCTCTTCTACTGGCACAGGCAACACGTTGACGGTTCCCTGCGGGATCAGTGACTTAGCCCCAGCCCAAAGCACTACTGCTGTGTTGACACGGTGGGACTCCGATTTATTTGGCGAGGTTGCAGTTCCTCTGCCAAGTCTGAAATACAGGTGATAGACAGGCAAGAGTTTTTAAATTCACCCTGTAAACACTGGGTTGCGGTACTCCTGAACCAGTATACGATCCCGAACCAGTATACAATCACGAATTAAAGCAAAACAAATGTATTTTCCTTTGTACACAGATCACTGACTAACGTGAGCTTGGAGCTCTCTCTGTGCATCACTTTCCTTCCAGTAGTGACCCAGAATACATTACTTTACAGACTGCTTTTGTAGATGTCATAACATGCATTAATTTAGTTTTCCACCACGTGTCCTCCTTTTAAAAATTCTGAATGACTCGAACTTTGAGCAATAAACAGTTTTTAATCTGCCATCCGGTTAGATGTTGGGGAAGTGGTAGTCTGATTTCCTTGTTTTGCAGCGGTACTTCTTGCTGTCCGAAGCTGGCAGAACGTTACTACTGGTTAACTGAGGCAGGTACTGTAACTAAAGGAAAAGTTACATAGCGTGTATTTGTTTGCAATGAGAAGAGAGCATGCATTTCATTTTTCAGAAAGGAATATAAGCTACAAAACTATTCGTGCTGTAATCCTGTACTTTCCAAACTAAGTGTCATGGATCTGGTGTTCTACAACTAGACTGCAACCAGAACAGCTCATTAAAGGTATTTCTTCCAGTCATCCAGGGCAAGAAAAATATTCCTGTTACATCCTACGTCACAGAAATGGAGGAGGCGAATCAGTTTGATCCGGGAATTTATATGCTGTAGCAGTTCTCCATCCTACCCCTCCAGCTTCCCTGCATGTTCCCAGTTCAGTGTTAGAGCTGTCATGGGGAACGGGGCTCGCAGGAAGAAGGAACTGCTGACTGACTCTCATCATGAGGCTGGATTTGGAGACTTGGGCTGGCGTCTGGAAAGACTGAAATGGCAGGGAGACATTTGCTTGGCAGCTCCAGCTGCAGAAACACCCAGTGCATTGTGTAACGTCTGGAACCGAGTAAAGGATCACATCCCAGCAGCAGTTACAAATGGAACTGGGCATTTTTGCCGTCTCCGTAATGTGGGATTTCAAACACATCAGACAGATCCCAGAGAACTCCAGATTAAACCAGCCATGCAAGCACGTCCAGTTTGTTCAGCTATCCTGCTATTCTTTGTCGGGAATGCACATTCCCGGATAAACCTGATCTTTCGCATCGCCGTGCTGCTTATCCCCAGTGACTCAATGGAGCTGCACGGTAGAATTCAGTCTGTACTGAGTTACTCTTTAGCCAGGAGGTTCATTTTCTCCTCGGGCTAAAATTAAGATTGGTCCAATGCAGGAGCTCTCTCTCAACGTTAACTGCCAGCATGAGCCCACCTCCTGGGAGCCAAACAAAGAGAACCAGTCCCCTCCTTAGGCACAGAACATTAAATACTACTATGAGAGTGTTACCCCTGGCATGTGCTTCCGAGTCAGCCTGGCTGGCTTCCGAGCCGTTTTTTCATGTTCTTTCCCCAGATCCGCTGCCTCCCTAATGCTGTCAAAATAGGGATGCTGCAGCAGCTGCTCACACGTCTGCCTCTCCGCAGGGTCCATACGAAGGCAACCCTTGGAAAAGATGAAGTAAAGGATCACAGAAAAGGCTCGTTAAACAGGTCTGCACAATTCCAGCTACTCACCACAGCCAATGACTATTTGCACAGATAGATGTGTTAATCTTTTTTTTTTTTAATGGATTCTAAGAGTGGCTTTTCAGAGTCAGCATGAAGCTTGCAAAGCAGCTAATACTGAACAATTGCCACAAGGCAGTAACAGAAACTGCGGCTAGAGGGACAGTAACAATCGTATGGTGTAGCAAACCATCAAGCCTCCAAAACCAGTTAAGCCCATAACTTTTGTTTGAACTAGAACAACTTTTCTTTAACGGGGGAATCCGCTATGGCACGAGCTGTGTTGTTCCAGTGTTTAGCGTAGCTAGGACTATCCACAGCTGCACCTCCTTTTTAGTGCCTCCATCCTCACAGTTTCCATTCACTGCATCTCAATAAGGGAATAATATGTTTTCCACCTCCATGGTAAAGACGAGTGGATTAGAGAGGAGTGGATTAGAAGTCCTCTCCAAATCCCCTTCAGCTCTATTTTTCAATGAATTTCTGATAATTCAGTAGCCAACTCTCAAACCATTTACCAGCTGATAAGCAAAACAGACCGCATTTGCTAAGTCCCAGTGCAGAGCTCCTCCACCAGCTGTAATTTTCTTACCTTCATGAAAGCTAAAGCAGAGTATGAAATATTAGGGAATTTCATTTCTAACGGCTCCTGGTGGGAAAAAAACAGTGAGTGTACTCATATTAGCAAGCTTTTAATTCATCAGGGTACAGAGAACCGGCTTTCCATAGCAACATGACCTGTACCTCACAAAATGCATCTGTCACTTCACGTGCTTAGAGGGGAGCGGCCTGGCATTACTGAGGATGGGTAGGTTGGCTGCTGTGCCACCAGAAGGGGGGAGAAGGAGCAGAGATTAAGCATTTGTCTGACTGCTTTTACACAGGGTATCAGTTAAAACGTCACGAGAAGGTTCAGCCACCTCCGAATAATACTCTAGTGTACATCGGTGAAGTACAGGGCAAAGCTTTTGGATAGGGAAAATATTCTGCACAGCAAAGGACTGGTCAAGCTGAGCAAGTGAGGCTTTTCCAGCCACACTTCCAAAGCAGATAGCACATGTACTCTGGGTAAAAAGAAGCAGGAACGTTTCTCTGTCCAAACACCTCATCTCCTTAGCACTGCAGACAGACTGCTGGTTAGCGCTAGGCTCAGGGGAAGTGCGTCTAGAGGGAGCTCTTACCATGCTCTCTGGGTCTGGAATTCTTACCCCGCTGAAGAACTGGTTGGTGCTGAACACTTGCTGGTGCCTGGGAATAAGATCCCCTTTGACCAAGAATAAAAAAAACAAAGTCAGATTAATTTGCTGTTTTTACAGTGCCTGCATTGAACAAGCTTATAGCCCCTACAAGGCTGACACCATCCGTGAGAACATCTAACGAGATGGAGTACCACCAAGTGAGCCGATGAAAAGTTCTTTTGTGAAAACTAACGTCCATCTAGGACGTCAGTGATCCCACAGCCGTGTGACTCTGCTGAACGAAAGGCAGGGCCACGCAGCTCCAGCTGCCCACAGTCACAACTGCCCAGGGCCTCATGCTGTAAATAGCTCAAAGAAATTCAGCTGGTGGGAGCAGTTTTTGGAGCAGGAGTACTCAGCTGCTGTGCTTCCTCCAGGCTCTGAGTTTCTCTGCTGTGCAGCAGAGAGGCTTTTATGAACTGTGGCCACTATAGCCGGGGGCCTTGAAAAATACATATTTCTATCTATCTCCCCATGCCAAATGCCTAGATCCTATCACTGCATTATCTGGGTAACTGCAAATTTGGATTTGCACTAGCAAAAAGACCCCTCGGTAGAACACCA